GCTATATTGATAACATCATCATCATCTGGACCCATGGAAAAGAAGCCCTTGAGGAATTCCACCATGGTTTCAACAATTTCCATCCCACCATCAACCTCAGCCTGAACCAGTCCATGCAAGAGATCCATTTCCTGGACACTATGGTGCTAATAAGCGATGGTCACATAAACACCACCCTATACCGGAAACCTACTGACCGCTATTCCTACCTACATGCCTCCAGCTTTCATCCAGACCACACCACACGATCCATTGTCTACAGCCAAGCTCTAAGATACAACCGCATTTGCCCCAACGCCTCAGACAGAGACAAACACCTACAAGATCTCTGTCAAGCATTCTTACAACTACAGTACCCACCTGCTGAAGTGAAGAAACAGATTGACAGAGCCAGAAGAGTTCCCAGATGTCACCTACTCCAGGACAGGCCCAAGAAAGAAAACAACAGAACATCACTAGCCATCACCTTCAGCCCCCAACTAAAACCTCTTCAATGCATCATCAAGGATCTACAACCTATCCTGAAGGACAACCCATCACTCTCACAGATCTTGGGAGACAGGCCAGTCCTTGCTTACAGACAGCCCCCCAACCTAAAGCAAATACTCATCAGCAACCACATATCTCACAACAGAACCACTAACCCAGGAACCTATCCTTGCAGCAAAGCCTGTTGCCAACTGTGTCCACATATCTATTCAGGGGACATCGTCATAGAGCCTAATCACATCAGCCACACTATAAGAGGCTCGTTCACCTGCACATCTACCAATGTGATATATGCCATCATGTGCCAGCAATGCCCCTCTGCCATGTACATTGGCCAAGCTGGACAGTCTCTACGTAAAAGAATAAATGGACACAAATCAGACGTCAAGAATTATAACATTCATAAACCAGTCGGAGAACACTTCAATCTCTCTGGTCACTCAATTACAGACCTAAAAGTGGCAATTCTTCAACAGAAAATCTTCAAAAACAGACTCCAACGAGAGACTATTGAATTGGAATTAATTTGCAAACTGGATACAATTAACTTAGGCTTGAATAGAGACTGGGAGTGGATGGGTCATTACACAAAGTAAAACTATTTCCCCATGTTTATCCCCCCACCACCATCCGCCCGCACTGTTCCTCAGACGTTCTTGTCAACTGCTGGAAATGGCCCACCTTGATTATCACTACAAAAGGTTCCCCCCCCACCCCGGTAATAGCTCACCTAAGTGATCACTCTGGTTACAGTGTGTATGGTAACACCCATTGTTTCATGTTCTCTATGTATATAAATCTTCCACTGAATGCATCCAATGAAGTGAGCTGTAGCTCACGAAAACTTATGCTCAAATAAATTTGTTAGTCTCTAAGGTGCCACAAGTACTCCTTTTCTTTTTGTTCAATAAGGGCAACATGAGATTCTTACATATGGAAAACTCAAAGATATGGGGCGGGGGGAGGGGTAAGTAGTGGCAGACCACCTCAAAGGAGCTTCACAGGCTCATTGCTAATCCAAGATTAAGGCAATTCTAGAGTGATGATTCTGAAAGATCAAAATAAAAAAGCAATTTAGGATAATTCTCACCATATTTTCAGTCTCTAAAAGCATAGCTAGAAATGTCCCAACCAGAAATTAGACTCTCTTTTGGTTAAAAGCCAGCTTCCTTTTCCTCCAACAGGTCACATGATTTTACATCTCTCCCCTCTTGACAGAATAGCAAATTATGTGAAGTCATAGAGCAATGGCCAGTTTAACCTGTTTTTTATTGTCACAGAGCTCTACAGCTGAAGTGCAAATATAAGGCAGCCGCAGCAGGAACTCCAAGCATTTCATAGAATCATAGAATCTCAGGGTTGGAAGGGACCTCAAGAGGTCATCTAGTCCAACCCCCTGCTCAAAGCAGGGCCAATCTCCAGTTTTTGCCCCAGATTCCTAAATGGCCCCTTCAAGGATTGAACTCACAACCCTGGGTTTAGCAGGCCAATGCTCAAACCACTGAGCTATCCCCTCCCCCCCCCAGCAATTTAATATTCACGAGGCATATTTCTTAAAAAACTCTGCAGATTTCAGAAGTCACAGCACATACATGCATCATGGTATGTTTTATATAAGCGGACATGGAGAGGTTCCCTTTGTTATCAGCTAAGAATACCACAAGGATATGACTCTAACCATGCCTGTATCAATATATTGTATTGTAAAGGCTTCTACCAAGTACTTGAATCTGAAAAATTATTTATTTTTGGGATGGATCCGCAAATCTCCACTTTGAGCCTCCCTCAGAGAGCGCTCTCTCTCTCTCTCTTCCTCACTAAGGAGCAGCTAGGATTACAAGTCTCTATACCTTCATGGCCAAGTCTCCAAGGAAGGTAAAGATTTAGACACCCAAGAGCATAAGTTATTCCGAACAAAGACAGCCTTGCAATGGAGAAGCTGACCTGATTTGATAGTTCATGCTCCTTAAGCCCCAGTCCGTCTTAATGACACAAAAACAAACCAAGAATGGGACAAAGAAGGGAACTCAGAGGACCACAATCAAGTAGTGAGGTAGCTCCACTCAGCCAGATAAAGCTACTTTGACACTGAAGGGTCAGGTACGCAAGACACCCCCCCGTTAAACAAAACGGAAAGAACAAAGGAGTGCCTGACTCCCCATCACTGCCACCTCCTTGGAAAGGTGAATGTGGCCCCTATCTCCCCCTCCTTCCCAAAGGACAAGGAGAAAATTCAGATGGGCCTCCCCCATCTCTAACCCTCCCAGAGATACAGGGATGGGGGCACCAGGAGTCCACTGCTTGCCCCCTTCATCCTCCCCCCCCTTAGGGGACCTAGGAAAAGCAGATAATATTTATTCCCCCCTCCAATCCCCAACTTTCTAAGAGGGTTAGAGAGAGGGAAGGTGGGGCATCTGAGGCCCAAACATTACCCTCACCCCATAAGGGAGAGAGAAATGAGGAGCAGGGAGTAGGGAAGGCTGGGGGCAGCCTCATCAACCCCACCCCCATAGGGAGAAACAGGGAAGAGGAGCATCCCTCTTCTGCCCCTTCCCAGATCCAGCCCAGGGACAGCCGGACCGCCTCCTCCTCCATCCATCCTATACAGGAATCTGCCCCTACAGGGGCAGCAACTTCCCCACCCCCTAGGAGGCCTTCTGCTCCGTATAGGAACAAGCTGCTCCGGTTCAGCCAGTCCTCTCCCTCAAAGACTGCTGCCCCCCATGCCCTATAGGCAACTTTCTCCCCAGTCCCTATGGTAGGAGCCGCTGCCCCCACACTCCTATACATGACTCCCCCCATCTCCACATAGGTGACTAAGCCCCCACCCCTTGTGGAGGCAGTCACTGCCCCCCTCCCGCCCTGTAGGTAACTCCCCCCGCATCGCCACACAAAGCCGCTGCCCCCCCCGGCCCTATAGGGGGCTCCTCCCCCATAGAGCCACTGCCCTCCACTCCCCTGTACATGACTCCCCTCATCGAGCCCCCACCCCCCTATAGGCGACTCTCCCCCCAGCACCCACGGAGAGAGCCGCTGTCCCCCCACGCCCCTATGGGCGAATCTCCCCTCAGCACCCACGGAGAGAGCCGCTGTCCCCCCACGCCCCTATGGGCGATTCTCCCCCCAGCACCCACAGAGAGCCGCTGTCCCCCCACGCCCCTATGGGCGATTCTCCCCCCAGCACCCACGGAGAGAGCCGCTGTCCCCCACGCCCCGATGGGCGACTCTCCCCGCAGCACCCACGGAGAGAGCCGCTGTCCCCCCGCCCCTATGGGCTCCCCCAGCACCCACGGAGAGAGCCGCTGTCCCCCACGCCCCTATGGGCGACTCTCCCCCAGCACCCACGGAGAGAGCCGCTGTCCCCCCACGCCCCGATGGGCGATTCTCCCCCCAGCACCCATGGGGAGAGCCGCTGTCCCCCCACGCCCCGATGGGTGACTCTCCCCCAGCACCCATGGGGAGAGCCGCTGTCCCCCCACGCCCCTATGGGCGAATCTCCCCCAGCACCCACGGAGAGAGCCGCTGTCCCCCCACGCCCCGATGGGCGACTCTCCCCGCAGCACCCACGGAGAGAGCCGCTGTCCCCCCACGCCCCTATGGGCGACTCTTCCAGCACCCACGGAGAGAGCCGCTGTCCCCCCACGCCCCTATGGGCGACTCTCCCCCCAGCACCCACGGAGAGAGCCGCTGTCCCCCCACGCCCCTATGGGCGACTCTCCCCCAGCACCCATGGGGAGAGCCGCTGTCCCCCCACGCCCCGATGGGTGACTCTCCCCCCAGCACCCATGGGGAGAGCCGCTGTCCCCCCACGCCCCTATGGGCGAATCTCCCCCAGCACCCACGGAGAGAGCCGCTGTCCCCCCACGCCCCTATGGGCGATCTCCCCCCAGCACCCACGGAGAGAGCCGCTGTCCCCCCACGCCCCTATGGGCGACTCTCCCCCAGCACCCATGGGAGAGCGCTCCCCACGCCCCGATGGGTGACTCTCCCCAGCACCCATGGGGAGGCCGTGTCCCCCACGCCCCTATGGGACTCTCCCCAGCACCCACGGAGAGAGCCGCTTCCCCCACGCCCCTATGGGCGACTTCCCCAGCACCCATGGGGAGAGCGCTTCCCCCACGCCCCGATGGGTGACTCTCCCCAGCACCCATGGGGAGGCGCTCCCCACGCCCCTATGGGCGAATCTCCCCCAGCACCCACGGAGAGAGCCGCTGTCCCCCCACGCCCCTATGGGCGATTCTCCCCCCAGCACCCACGGAGAGAGCCGCTGTCCCCCCACGCCCCTATGGGCGACTCTCCCCCAGCACCCATGGGGAGAGCCGCTGTCCCCCCACGCCCCGATGGGTGACTCTCCCCCCAGCACCCATGGGGAGAGCCGCTGTCCCCCCACGCCCCTATGGGCGAATCTCCCCCCAGCACCCACGGAGAGAGCCGCTGTCCCCCCACGCCCCGATGGGCGACTCTCCCCCCAGCACCCACGGAGCCCCCCACGCCCCCCGGCTGCCGCTCACCTGCGCCTCCCCTCCGGCCGCCGCCCCCCCCGGGCCACCCTCCGGCTGCCGCTCCCGGTAGAGCGCCCAGAGCCCCACGTTGGGCAGGAAGACGAGGGCGGCCAGCGCCAGCCCCACCGCCTGCAGCAGCCGCTTCTGCTTCCGCCGCATCGGAGCCGCCGCCGCCGCCGAGCCCGACCCGCCGCCCAACTTTCCCCGCGCGCCCGCGCCGGAGAGCTCGGGCGAGCCGCCGCTCGGCCACTTCCGCTCCGGGGGGGCGGGCGCTACCACTCCCACCGCGGGGGCGGGTCCCGGAGCGCCCCGCCCCGGGCCCGCTCCAACGCCCGTCCCCGCCCCCCCGGCCGGCGTGCGTGAATGGTACCGACCGGCCCCCTCGCGCGGCCGAGCGAAGAGTGAACTCGCGGCGGGGGGAGGGGGGGGGAGCAGAAGCGTCGCGCGGGGTTCGGCGGGGGGGGGGCGCTCAGGGGTTCGCGGTGGGGTCGGTCCCTGCCCTCCCGCGTCCAGAAGAGGTCGAGGTTGGAGATGAGGCCTCGGGCAAAAGGTTGGGGCGCAAGGGACCCAGGGGTGCCAATGGTTCAGAAGGGTTGCGGCGGGAGGGGGACACACACACACAATGTCGGTAAACCTGCAGCGGCGGAGAGAGCCGATAAAAAAAGTCAATGGCCTGATCCTCAACCATGCTGATCCCCCAAACCAGCCCGCACTGAAGTGGGGGGGAGCATAGGGGTTCGGCGCCCCCAAAGATCAGGTCCTAAATGGACAGCAAGGGCGCAAGAAAGCAGAGTTGGACGTACAGAGTCGCCATGACCTATGTTGGCATGGGTGGAAAAGCGCAAGACACGCCAGGAGTTAAATGTACAACAGTGCAGTTAAACAGACAAAAAGGGTAGCTGTGCAAGGGAGCAAGGAGTTGGATAGGCTGCCTTTTCACCTTTAGCTCCTTGCACAATTACTGCATTAATTATGGTACAGATACTAATTTTGTTTGCCAACAGCAGGGTTTTTTTTTAATTCACTGTTTGCCTGCTAGAGTTTAACAGCTGAACATTCTTATTTTGTCTTTATAGACTAGTTAGTAATTATAGGCATATTGAGGGGTTTAATACTTCTTTCTCACGCCCACTGGGAAATGTAAATAACCTCCATTACCATAGAAGTTATAATGTGAAACTAGTTTGGGAGGCAGCTTTAATTTTTTTCTGTGAATCTGAAGACAAAATACTTCGTTAACATAATAATTAGGATTCTGGGTTCAATCCCTAAAGCAAAGAAATGCAAAGTTTACACTTTACTAATGTGTGCTGTAATAGCTAGACAGAGCAAAGGTGAATTTAAGGTAGAGCTAAAAACCTTAACTGCTTGCTTTTATGAATTTATCCATTTCTGAACATGTAACTTCTTTTGTTATTGGTGTACATGTTTTGTTTTTTGCTTCAGCAGTTGCGGCAATTCATACCTTGCAAAGTTGCACACAATAATATTCCCTGTGCACCTACAGATCACTTAGCATATAAATGCCACATTCTATGCTACTTGCCCTCTTCTCTTACTCCGTCGCTTCTTGAAGTCAGTGTGAATTGCATGTGTGTAGATAAATGAAGATAAAATGGATACTCAAAAAACACCTTAAAAATTATTATACCTGCACTATACCCCTGCTCCTTCAACTAGTTCTGCCTGGGCAGAGAGGATATGCATATGGGCCCATTGTAGGATCAGACACTCTTTTCTTTTTCCATTAAAAAAATATTACCCATGCAATTGCAACAAACTAACTAGCATCAGTGCATACTGCTGCTTATCACTAGGTGGAATCAGAACTGCTTAGCTGCCTGTCCTAAGACTTGTCTTGCAAACAGCTAATGGACATTTAGCGCAAAGTGTGCAGGTCTGTGCTTTTGCATACAGGCAGATCTAAGTTCTCTGCCTGCTGTTGCCATTAAATCCTGAGTGGCCATGGTGTGTAGCATGGTGTCAAGTGTGAGGTTCTTAGATGGCCCCGAGTTTACATCAGATTTAATAGTCAGTGGCATTACAGCTGACCAGTTTACAGAATTTGTTGAAACTCTGAAGCAGATTCAAGTGACTAAGGATAACTAACAAACAAAATCAATGGGCGGCAGGGTGACAGCCTACACCAAATTTCATCACAGAGCAAATGTGTATAATTAAAACGAAACTGTGTGAAGACAGGGAACATCATAGAAATGGCTACGTGATTTCTAACTATAGCGGTGTGGCCAAAGGTAGCTATAACCAATATGAATTGGTGGGGGAAGCTGGTATATTAATTGCTTATGAAAGATAGGATAGAATCCTTTAAATTAGTACCCCAGTGGAAGTTAACATACCAGTGAAGTGATGGTACCAAAAGTGGAAACTCATAGGAACACACTGTAAGTAAACATTCACTTACTTGTAATGCATGTCCTTAAAAATAAGCAATTTACAAAACATGAAGCACATTACAGTATTTAAGATGTGTTTGTCTGACAGCAATAATCCAGCAGCGGGGAGAAACAAAGAGTGAGAATCATCTCTAGGGCTTAAATGGTGTCTAGGGTCCTGTGCTGGGCCTTCTGCATTGGAGTAAATTTCCACCAAAGTGAATAAAGCTCACCCACCAAACAGAATCACAATTAATATCAACTTACTGTAAACAGGTTTAGAGGAAACACTACATGTGCCATTTTAACAGACACCCACAACATACTGTACCATTAATCCATAGGCTGATGATGTTATTGACATGCATGATTGCCTCAAATCAGTTCTCTGGCAATAGTCCCAATTAAGAAAGAATGCTCTTTATCAGGGAACCAATTAAGTGGATTCTACTGTACCATAATCTAAATGATTTATAATCCTAAAACAGCATTCTAAAAAATGCAACAGAATTTCCCCAAAACAGTGAGTTGATTCATTTCTTAAATTAAGAGCAAACAACCCACATAATTATGAAGCTTTACTGCAAGCATAACAGCAATAAAGCTAGGCTAATGCAACTATCAGATCTGTGGCAATACAATGTCCTGCTGGGGTTACAGCTAAAGTAAATATCAGGTCTCTTGCAACTAAAGCTCTGATGCTACATTTTTATTTCCTACTGTAACACAAAAATCTATACAAAACAAAAACAAAAAAACAGTTTTTTCTTCACCCATCCTTCCCCTCACGAAAGGATTTAAATTTAAATTTATTGTATAATCCGCTAGGTGGCACCTTCCAGCAGACTTCAGCTTCATTATGTGACAGCCAAATTACCAAGGAAAACATTTAATTTAGAGAGCCAGGTTACAGCTCCTAAGTCTAAATATGTAGTAAAGCAGCTTGTACTTTCATTTTAATCTGCTCTCAGAATTTGTCACTGGGTTGTTTTTTTTAAGAAATGTTTCCATTAAAGAGACAAGGTGGGGTGAGGTAATATATTTTCTTGGACCTCACCTACCTTGTCTCTCTTGAAGGGCTAAAATCCATATGCTGTTTATGTTACAACCTGATATATAGACTGTGTCAGCTCTTTTTACAGGCCCAAAATCCAGAGTTTGGTCAAGAAGACAGAGGCCTAGCAAATAATGAACAATATTAGCTAAGAAGCAGAACAAACAAAGGACAACCTTGCTTTTTGCTAAGAATAGCTTGGTCAGCAAGAAGCCAGGTGGAAATTATAATTGGGGGCTTTATCTCAAAGTTGCAAACAGACCAAAGGAATGAAAGGGGCCCTGTTTCTTCTGTAGAAGAGGTGCTTTCCTACACACCAGCCTTGAGTTTATGGAAGAGGTTCAAACATGTCAGTGTGCCATTTACAACGCACACTTTGCTTCTCTACAAAAGAAAAAGGACACTAAACTTTCTAAACTACTACATGCTACAAGGGGCCACAGCAATGGTTCCCTCAGCCCACCTAGCAATATTGTTAACCTATCCAACTATACTCTCAGCCCAGCAGAAGCAGTGGTTCTATCTCGGGGCCTCTCCTTCTGCCCCTCCACCCCCACGAACATGATACAGTTCTGTGGTGACCTAGAATCCTATTTTCGACGTCTCCGACTCAAGGAATATTTCCAAAATACCTCTGAACAACATACTAATCCACAGAGGTCTCCCTACCAACACTACAGAAAGAGGGATTCTAGATGGACTCCTCCTGAAGGTCGAAACAGCAGACTGGACTTCTACATAGAGTGCTTCCGCCGACGTGCACGGGCTGAAATTGGGAAAAGCAGCATCACTTGCCCCATAACCTCAGCCATGCGGAACGCAATGCCATCCACAGCCTCAGAAACAACTCTGACATCATAATCAAAAAGGCTGACAAAGAAGGTGCTGTTGTCATCATGAATAGGTCGGAATATGAACAAGAGGCTGCTCGGCAGCTCTCCAACACGAGTTTCTACAAGCCATTACCCTATGATCCCACTGAGAGTTACCAAAAGCAACTACAGCATTTGCTCAAGAAACTTCCTGAAAAAGCACAAGATCAAATCCGCACAGACACACCCCTGGAGCCCCGACCTGGGATATTCTATCTACTACCCAAGATCCATAAACCTGGAAATCCTGGGCGCCCCATCATCTCAGGCATTGGCACCCTGACAGCAGGATTGTCTGGCTAAGTAGACTCCCTCCTCAGGCCCTACGCTACCAGCACTCCCAGCTACCTTCGAGACACCACTGACTTCCTGAGGAAACTTCAATCCATCGGTGATCTTCCTGATAACACCATCCTGGCTACTATGGATGTAGAAGCCCTCTACACCAACATTCCACACAAAGATGGACTACAAGCCGTCAAGAACACTATCCCCGATAATGTCACGGCTAACCTGGTGGCTGAACTTTGTGACTTTGTCCTTACCCATAACTATTTCACATTTGGGGACAATGTATACCTTCAGATCAGCGGCACTGCTATGGGTACCCGCATGGCCCCACAGTATGCCAACATTTTTATGGCTGATTTAGAACAACGCTTCCTCAGCTCTCGTCCCCTAAAGCCCCTACTCTACTTGCGCTATATTGATGACATCTTCATCATCTGGACCCATGGAAAAGAAGCCCTTGAGGAATTCCACCATGATTTCAACAATTTCCATCCTACCACCAACCTCAGCCTGGTCCAGTCCACACAAGAGATCCACTTCCTGGACACTACAGTGCTAATAAACAATGGCCACATAAACACCACCCTATACCGGAAACCTACTGACCGCTATTCCTACCTGCATG